TGTATAGCAAGAAAATTGGTTTATCTCGAAAAGAATACCAAAAGAGTGAATTTGAATCTAAAAGTTGTCCTCAAGAGCAATTCTTGTGATAGCTTTTGTGCATCTAAAAGTAAAACATTTACAAATAAAGCACAAAGTGTTACTTTTGCAACACAAAGCATTTCCAACGAGATTATTTTGCTAATTACTAATGTTTACGTTTCTTCCCTTTACATTTGTAAGTTGATTGCAAGTTTACGCCATATTTTATAAAAGTGCTGTCTTTTTACACGCACTTATCTGACATTGCGAATGCATTCTGAAGTCGCAAGCATAGAATTTCCGCACGTTAACCTTTGTAATAAATCAAATTCAACAATAGACTTTCTGTAAACATCCTTGGTGGTATCCTATTATAATCATATATTTCCGAAATAACCAAAATGTTTCAGATATTTTTACTTTGAATTAGAAGAATTTAGTGACTGAATGAATGGACCTAAAATACAACTGAATGCATAACTGACTTTGCAATCGATTAGTTGCGATGGTCTCTACAGATCCATTTCAGCTATACTTTGTAGTGATCATTGACTCCTCTGCAGTAATTTGCATTGCCCTTGTGAAGGGTAGTTATGCTACGATGATAGTATTTAGAGAATTATGCACTGTGAATAGCAGTGGTCAGACTTTGAGATAATGGACGAGAAGAGTGATGAGTGGGCATGAAGTTTGTTCTGGTAAGCTCACAAGTTTTAATCACTTAACTTATCGCTGATCAATAATTACTTGTGTAATAGTCATGAAATTAAGTTTTGTATTTAGTCAAACAGTGGTTATGACTTGATAAGCTGGGTTTTAGCTTCTTCAAGTTATATATTTTGTCTTTTAAGTATATATATAGTAAAATTTTATGCAAAAAATAAATACCATGTTGAAAACTCAAAACACTGCAAATGAATTATGAGGTTATAAACCAAAAGTGCATCCACGTTTTCATTTACTACTATCCATCTTTATAACAAAAGTATTGAAATAACTGTGTAGTGAGCTTTGCTCTTATCTCTTATATATATTTTTAGTAATGTATTTTACGTTTTGAATTATATCATCGTTTTAACCATTTATGCTTCCTTATTTTGCAGGAAATTTGGCACGGATGCATCGAGAATTGAAAAATCTCACATTTAGCAATCCTGGCGAAGCAACTCGAATCTCCCACAAAGAAGTTTTGAGTCAGAAACAAGGGGTTCGTCGTTCTACAAGAAATCGCAAAAGTCAGTTTTTTACTATATAGTGCTAAGTGTAAATTGTCATGTCCACTAGCTGAATTTAATGTTTATTTCAAATTTGATGTATAACATAACTTTTATTATTGTTGTAAATATTCGTAGGCAGCATGTGATGTTAAGTCTGGACAGTATTTGATATTTTTTCAGCAATAGCACCAGTAGATTGTTTGTTGGATTACATTCCACATCACGATGAAGAAGGCTATTTTATAAAGCCTGATGGTTATCATGTTAAACTTTGTGATTGTCTACGAATAGATTGCCCCGGTAATTGTCATGTATTTCATTCACGATAATATGGTTCTTAATGTTTTGATATAGTTTTACATCTTCAAATAAAAT